CTGAATTGCACAAAACGCATGATCGCACCGGCTAGTCTGGTGCGCGTTGCCATTTATTTTTATCGTTTCCGAATTCATCTGACTGTTTTTCAAAGTATTTTAATACTCCTGACCTGTTACAAAGATTCTTCAGTGAAATTCTATATACTGGCTAAATTTTACACCTCATTGGCGAAACTCATTGACCCTTTAGCTCAATTTTGCATCCGTTACTGGAAAAACCATATTTTGGAACCTTAAAGTAAAAGGCATATGAAGGCATAACTTATTTCTTCGTCGTTTTTTGCCTCTTCACAGTAAAAGACTGCCCGGCGATAGGAAACCAGGTTCACTGACAAAGGAGGGAAATGAGATGGGCTGTGAAAAGAGAGTGCTAGGAATCTGCAGAATGAATAGCTGTGTTTTCCAGGGTAACATTGGATAGTGTGCTACATTTTAAGTAAGTCGTTCTGTAGTTGCACGTTAATTAACCAACTTCTGAAAGTGGCACGTGCACATGCGTTTTCAGTAAGGTTAAAGCCACATGAAGTTGCTCCTGACTTCAGAAATGTCAAAATAATAGAAAGCTTTCGGGTCCAAACTGCAGCCCAAAGGGCGTTTACGTTTGGTCTGAATCGCCAGTCCCGCAAATTGAACTTTTTTCCTTCTCCTCTTCTGTATTTGCAATATATGTCTCAGAAGCCATTACAACTGTTTAGACACTACTGCGAGTGCCAATGAGTTGTCGAAACGCGGCTCGCCCATTTCCTCATACAGCTGGGACAGCGACAACGCTCGAAAGCATGTTTATAATCTGGTAAATCTTTGTTCTAAACAACAAATATTTCAGTTAAAAGCAAGGTTTTAAAGGAAACCCAGGTTAAAACGCACCAGTCTTGCCGGTGCGATCATGCATTTTTGCACCAGACTTGAAGTACTCAGGTCATTAACTGCATGAATGGTTGTTGTTTTACACCTATCACCTATCTTGTGCGCAAACACGCACAGGGGCGAGCCCGTGCGAAAGCGACACACCGGGCGAACCCGTTGGATCATGCGTTTTTACAGTGTTTCGTGCTGTAGTGAGATCGCTCGGAAACCCAGTAGCTATTTCCTCGAATTTCAAGAAACTGGTTCTCTATGCTGTATTTGGACAGGGAACATTCCCTGAAAATTTCAGCCTCCCAGCTTTTCTAGTTCCCGAATTTTCCAATTTGCCCGTCAAAAAATTTCACGGGGCCGTACATGATAACTACGCATGCCGGGGCAGCTGAATTTAATAAATTTATTTTGTACATGCGCTGCGAATATCCCCTGAAAATTTCAGCCTCCGGGCTTTCACGCTTCCTGAATTAGCTACTTTCCCGCCAAAAATTTCCATGGGGCTTCACGTGAGAACCACGCACACCGAGGGACTGGATACAATAACTTTAAGTTATACATGTGCTGGGAATATTTCCTGAAAATTCCAGCCTCCCAATTTCCCTGTTCCCCAGTTTAGCGATTTTCGCGCCCTCAGGACGCCATACGCAGGTACTACGCACACCTGGGGGCTGAATTTGAAACCTTTGAGTTCCATGTGGGCGGGGAACATGACCTCAAAATTTCAGCTTTCTAGCTTTTCTAGTTCCCGAGTTAGCGATTTTTCCGCCAAAACTTTCGTCCTCTCGTACGCGAGGCCCACACTTGCATTAGGGATTGTCCCGCGGTCCCGGGGTGGTACTTGGCCGGGGAACCCATTGTCAAAGTTTTGGCGCTGGAACTTGCTTGAGTGTCGAGTTGAAATACCCGAACAGACACATACAAACACGGAGGTCGTCACAATATGCGTTTTCACATTTGCATATATGCAACTTAGTCGAAAGCGTACCGGCTGCGGGTACGAGGATGCGCAGTTTGCGCAGTTCCCCCGCAAGTTTTTTTCGCCAGTGGCACGCTCTTCCCGGCAGATGCTTTTAGCTAAAAGAATTGTGACTGGCCACCATGACTGTTAGAAATTATTACAGTGACTCCCAGTCCATGCCCAAAAAATTCAACGCTGTGGATGCTTCGGTTGCGAAGTTACGCCTAATTCTACGTGTTCGTGAGTAACAGCTGGAGTGTTTTCTTCGCTTGGGGTTACCTAAAGACGGCCCTAGGTAGTGCTCAAAAAGTTTCAGTACTCAAACTGCTCTGGTTGCAGGGTTATGTCAAACTTCACGCCTTCATACGTCAATGGTAAAGTGAATGCTTTCTTTGCTTGCCGTTATTCAAACACGGCCCTGGTAACGCTCAGAAAGTTTCAGCATTCCAGCTGCTCTGGTTGCAGAGTTACGTCAAATTTCACGTGCTCGTACGTGAGTGACAACATGAGTTCTTTCTTCGCCCGCGGTTGGTCAAACGCGGTCCTGGGCAGCGCTCAGAAAGTTTCAGCTCTGGTTGCAGAGTTACGTAAAATTTCACGTGTTCGTACGTGAATGGTAAAGTGGATGCTTTCTTTGCTTGCCGTTACTCAAACACGGCCCTGGGTAAAACTCACAAAGTTTCAGCATTCCAGCTGCTCTGGTTGCAGAGTTACGTCAAATTTCACGTACTCGTGCGTTAGTGGCGACATGAATGCTTTCTTCGCCCGCGGTTACTCAAATACGGCCCTGGGTAATGCTGAGAATGTTTCAGCACTCCAGCTGCTCTGGTTGCGGAGTTACGTCAAATTCCACGTGTGTACACATGTTCGTAAGTGAGATGCAGAAGAGATGACAAGTAATTTACTTTCACGGACAAAACCGTGGGCGAAAAGTAACGCTGCGAAATAGCAGCTCTCTACAGCTTATTGATCAGCTTAAATCTGGAGTTGGCATGATGCCAGCTTAAACTCTGATGTGTGCGTACGTGAGACCTGAGGATGCGTGAAGGCTGAATTTGAAATCTACGTGAGACCTGAGGATGCGTGAAGGCTTTTTGAAATTTGAAATCTTAGACGCGGCCAAGGAGTATCTCTGTGAAGCTCCAGCCTCCTAGCATGAGTCGTTCCTGAAAACGCTTTCCCGCCAAAAAAGCTTTCACGTGCCTCCACGTAAGAACCGCGTGGACCTGAGCGTCCATTTTAAGGATGCGAGTCCGCACGTATGTGTAGATTAAGTCACCAAATTTTCAGCCTTGTAGCTTTTGTGTATCTCGAGATCAAAACTCGCTACAGGGAACACACAGACACACAGACATACACACGTACATACATACATACATACATACATACATACATACATACATACATGCATACATACACAAAGACACACACACACATACAGGCAACCTCTCGACAATATACGTTTTTGCATTGCACAGCTGCAAAAAACGCATAAAAACACACAATACTGCATGAAATAAATGAACAATTTCCATTTAGCGATCGTTCTTTAAAAGCAACCTAGCTGTTCAGTGAACA